TGCTGCATTGTCTGTAGGCTCAGTTTTCTCATCAGTCAAAAGGAATGTCGCATATGGGCAGTGTAATCACACTGTAAAGTTTCTGGCATAGAGAAGCTGCTTAACAAGAATTAGGTGTTACTGACAATTGTTAATGCTGGCAGGAAGGCTGGAACAGAGTTCTGGAGGCCCCTACCATGTCAGGAGTCACTTCATTTAGTTTCCAGATCACAGGGAGAGCCAGTTGGTCTAGAGAGTGGGTTGGTTCATGGGGAAACTGGTGTGTGTATGTGAGTGGAGGGGGCAGTTGGCAGCAGCTCTTTACCAGTAAGTTTAATATAGATGTATGTGTTTGTGTGGTACAGGAATTTTGAACTCAGGGACTTGGACTTGTTAGAAAAGTGCTCTGTCGCTTGAGGCATTCCCTCAGCCCTTCCTTTTGTTTTTTTTTTGGTACTGGGGTTTGAACTCAGGGCCTACACCTTGAGCTATTCCACCATCCCTTTTTTGTGGCAGGTTTTTTTGAGATAGGGTCTCGCAACTATTTGCCTGGGCTGGCTTTGAATTGTAACCCTCCTGATCTCTGCCTCCTGAGTAGCTGGGATTACGGGCATGAGCCACTGGTTCCCAACCCCTCAGCTCTTTTTTGCTTTAGTTATTTTTCAGGTAGGATCTCATGTTTTTGCTTGGGGCTGGTCTCAGTCTGCAATTCCCCCCTCTAGGTATCTGAGACCCTCTAAAACGTGCCACCCTGCCCAGGTTAATGGCTGCTAACTTTTTGCTCAGGCTGGCTTCAATCTCCAATTTCTACTTCCTGAGTGGCTAGGATTATAGGTATGAGCCATTATTCCCAGTGGTATGGTCATAGTTACCAAACTGTGTTCCAAACATAGTTACCAGTCCTGTGTTCCTGATATTCAGCATTGCACTGTTTCGAGTTCACTTCCTCTCTTTTAAAAAATCTTCAGCTTTCATTCAGCAAATCTTTTTAAACACGTGTCCTGTGGGGGGGCCCTGTGGATGTGGCAGAGACTAAGTTAGTCTTAGCCCAAATGGCACATATATTCTAACTTCATGCCTCCTACTCACTCTTTCTCAAGTGTGGTATTCTATCAGTTCAGACATTAGCTGTTGTTATTTCTATTACATGGCTTCAGTGGTTGCCTCTGTGAAGAGGTACCAAAAGTCGATAAGTGTATCCTTTTTCTAACATCAGCATACTTATATTTGTACCTGCCTGTTAGTCATTGTCAGTAGCTTTCCTATAAAATCATCAGATCCACTCCAAGACTGAATCCTTAGCTCCAGCTTCCTTTTCTGTGTTCCTGTCTTATTAAATGGCATCATCCCTCTGAAAATCACCCTTGCCTTAAGTCTTGCTCTCCATGTCCTTCTTCACTAGCTAGTTGTGTGACACCATTTCTTAGATTGTAGCTTGGCTCTTACAATGCTTTAACAATGCCTACCTCTGTAGTAGTCACATGTCAAATGTTGTTATTAAGATTCCAGTTGTTTGACTCAGTTTCTAAAAGGTGCTATACACCTTCCAAAAACAGCTTTTACCATTCATTCAGCATCTAGAAAATATTTTTGGAATGTCTAAAGACAAAAATCTGTGTCTCCTTTCATTCTTTAAAATTTTTTCTTAAAATTATTATTCAGATATAAATATAAAATGTATTTATGCTTGGAAAGTATAAAACATTAAACATACCTATGTAATTTAAAAAATGCATTATTTATTTTTAAGGCTAATGGGCGATTTGAAGTGGGCAAGAAAATCTGTTTGAGCATCTCAGGACATCATCCTGAAACATGGCAGCCATCATGGAGTAGTAAGTATTAGTTACAAGTGAATATAAATCTCATAACTTTATTCAGTTCATAGTAATGCTTGCTTGAGATTGAAGCTATTTTGGATAACTTGATACCATTAAATAAATAAAATAAAGTGCTTTTCTATGTCGAGATTTTTGTGACATTCCTCACTTGTAATGTCTTTTGTGAAACCCTCCAAGTCTTTTTTTCTTCTCTTTATAGAGCAAATCCAGTTCCTTTTACAAAGCAACTTAGATTAACATTTACATTTTTATTTCAGTAAGGACAGCGTTACTAGCCATCATTGGATTTATGCCAACGAAGGGAGAGGGAGCGATAGGTTCTCTAGATTACACACCAGAGGAGAGAAGAGCACTTGCCAAAAAGTAAGTTGGGCTTAAATACTCTTGTGCTTCATGGTATTAGAAAACAGGCTGTCTCTCTTACTTTTGGCCTTGGCTACAGGATCTGGTCTTACCGTTGCTACCTTAGAAATCCAGTTCTACTAATTTCCTTGGAGTGACCTGAATCTAAACACTTGATTTTTTTTTTCTTTTTTGTGCTGGTAGGGCTCAATCTCAGGGCCTTGCCCATGCTAGGCAAATGCTAATATTCCACTTAAGATTTATTTTTACTAAAGTGCTAGATATATTCTCCTGGAAAAATTACTGGCCATTTGTTTCCACTTGGATTGTATTACAGACAGAAAAGAATCAGGATAGTTATTTATATATAGCTTTTTAAAAGATTAGAAACTCCTTGGAGATAGGAGGGAATCCACTTTATCTATCTTTGTATCTACAGGATATAGCTCACAGCAAGTACTCAATAAGTGATCTGAAATAAAGGGACATTTCATCAACTTGTGATTGCTCAGTGGTATTGTCCTCTCTTTTTTCAGGTGCATTTTTGTCTAGATAACCAAGATTAGTCATTCAATTCAAAGTGTCCTTGCCTTTGAATAGTGCTAAAGTCTTATTTCTTGATTTTGACGATTTTCCTGCCATACTTCAGACAAATTATATTAAGTTATAGCATATTTTATCCTAGCACAGCCCAGAGTAGGCCCTTCACAGATGTTTGTTATGTCAAATAGTTAGATTTTAGTGTTGGGAGATTTGGAAAATGCTCTGGCCTTAGAACAACTTTTTTTTGTTTTAAAACCATATTCCCTGATTCTGGGGCTATACCTTACTTGCAGGTACTATTCGCACATCACAGTGTGTTTTTTGAATACACAGTATGTATTTTCATTTGATTTCCTGTGTTGGCTTTCTATCTAGACACTTGATATCCAGTTGATTTCATGTACAGGTGAAAAAAAAAACCTTTTTGGTTGTACCGGGGTTTGAATTAGGGCCTTATGCTTGCCAAACATGTGCTCTGCTACTTGAGCCACCTCCCAGCTCTTTTTGGTTCATTACTTCACTGAACAGGAGCTCACTTTTTTGCCTATGCCAGCCTGGACCATGATCCTCCTATTTGTACTCTAAACGTAGCTGGGATGACAGGCATGTACCATAACACCCAGTTTTTTGATTGATTGAGATGGGATCTTACATACTTTTTGCCTGGGCTGGCCTCAAACTGAAATCCTCCCATTGTCTGCCTCTAGTGTTACTAGGATTACAGGCATGAGCCACTGTGCCTAGATTTTTTTTTTTTTTTTTTTAATTTTCAAGACAGGGCCAGCTCAGCTGGTTTCAAACTCACACTCCTCCTGCCTCAGCCTCCCAAGACTGAGGGTGCACCACCAAGCCCAGTTTACAACTTGGTTTCTTGTTCTTACTCTTATTCTTCTAGGTAGCTGAGTATATACGTTTCATCTGACTGCTCGGTAAAAGTGAATGTATTCTAGGGCAAATAAATGAGATTTAATTGGTTACCAAAGGGATATGGACAGTAATGCTGTTCTTGTGAAACAAACAAGTATTCATCAATAAATACTAAATTAATGGTTCTTTTACATATATTTTGTTTATATGATGCTGTTTTATAAACTTGAATAGCATTTTCTTCTAGATCTTAAGTTATATTCATCTAGAAATATTGTAGAAAATAATTTTTAAAAATGAAGTTTAGAGCTGGGGGAGTGATGGCATGTGCCTATAATCCCAGCACTCAAAGAGGCTGAGACAGGAAGATTGAGAATTCCAGGCCAGCCTGGGCTACAACAAAAAAAATGGTCAGCTATGTAACTGTATTTCTACATATTATACATACTGTGTTTCAGTCATATAAGTCCTTGTAGCACTCTTGTGCGCTTTAGGGCAGTTTTGGCTCCATCTGGAATACAAAGGGGACAGTGGAAAAACAAATAAACCTAAGGAAGTCATCTAGTTACCAGACTTATCTTGAGTCTGTTTAATATAACCAGTGGTGGATTCAATTTTAGTTTTTTCTACAAGTTCTTCTAAGTCTTCCAAGTTATACTCTGTTTAAAAGAGTAGGATTTGTAAATCATTTTTAAAGAAATATCTGTCAATTCTATTCTTAATTGTCTTTCCTGTTTTATGTTTCTGCTAAAAAGATAATTTGAGCTTTATAATGGATCTTTTCCACTGGCTTTAAGTGGACTTGTTAGGTGGGATCTTGAGAACAGTATTGTAGACAATTCATCTATTTTGTCATTGTATAGACCTAAAACTTACTCTTCTTTAGATAACATTTAAAAAATGGAATCTAAGCTCTGTATTTTTATGAACTCATACTTAGAACTGCAGTTGCTGTCTTAATCACTGCATGTGGGTAAATGGTGTGGAATTGTTCAGTGTTCTTTCCTTCCAAATGTAATCATACAGGCCAGGTGCCGGTGGTTCATGTCTGTAATCCCAGCTGCTCAGGAGGCAGAGATCAGGAGGATCACAGTTAGAAGCCAACCTAGGCAAATAGTCCGCGAGATCCTATCTCAGAAAAAAGCATCACAAAAAAAAAAAAAAAAAAAGGGCTGGTGGAGTAGCTCAAGGTGTAGGCCCTGAATTCAAGCCCCAGAACTGCAAAAAAAAAAAAAAAACTAAAAAAACCCCACAATATTTGATTATCTCAGTAAAAGAGAATTAATATTCACCAATTTGATTTATACTCACTGAACAAAGTTGTTCCCTACCAGATCCCAGGATTTCTGTTGTGAAGGATGTGGCTCTGCCATGAAGGATGTCCTATTGCCTTTAAAATCTGGAAGTGATTCAAGCCAGGCTGACCAGGAAGCCAAGGAACTGGCTAGACAAATTAGTTTTAAGGTATAAATTCCTAAATACATTCTACTTACATCACCTTTTATTTACTACTGAATTTGGATAACAAGGGAAGCTATATAGTTCTCTTGCAGTAAGATTTTACAAATGATTTTTTTCCTATTATAAAATTCTTAATTACACTCATAAAGGCATTATAGCATAGCAGTAAAACCAAGGGTCTGATAAGCAAATCTGGGTTCAAATAACAACTTTGCTGCTGCTTATGACAGGTATCATATCAGACATACTGCTTAACTACCGTAATGCCCCTTTTTTATCTATAAATAATGTTGGTACCTACCCTGCAGGATATTGTGAGGATAAAGTAAATTAATACATTACTACGTGTGTTGCATTTAGAACTGCCCCTGTGCTCCATAAATTCTAGCTATTATTATTGAAAATATAGATAAGCCTTAACAAGAAATTATACTCATACCTAAACACCACATCTAAGAAATAACTGTTGTAAATTTTTTGACTTATTTCCCTTTTATCCCTCTTTAATGCATGTTTTACCCAAAGATAAGATTATATAGTATTTTATGACTTTGAGTAGTCACATTCATGTTCTGGAATTTAATTAGCTCCATAAAAAAAAATGTTAGCTCACATTATGCAACACATTCCTCCTCCATCTTCTCCACATCTCATCCCATGTGTCCTCCTGGGTCTACTAGACCAGGAGAACTAGACCATCTAGTTTATTGTAGTACCTGGAAGAAAAGATGTAAATGTTGCTTCTTCTGAGGATTCTTGATATAATTAAAATTACTTCTCTGAAAACTCTTAGGGCCAGATGTATTTATGTCAGAGTTTTTCAGATTTTAGAAACTATCTTACATATACCATATATTAACTAACTGCAGTGGCTAACTTGAGTAGCACCTCATAATCAAATCCATTAAGAATTCCTCCGCAAACCTGGGACTGTGGACACTAGTGTACTTGCCTCACATCAGTTCATTCAGGGTTTGCCTAAAAATTACTAAAAAAACTTTAGTTTTTAGCCAGGCGCTGATGACTAACTCCTACATCCTAATTACTCAGGAGACAGAGATCAGGAGGATTGTGGTTAGAAGCCAGCCTGGGCAGATAATTTGAGAGCTTTCTCGAAAAAAATTCAACACAAAACAGGGCTAGTGGAGTGGCTCAAGTGGTAGAGCACCTGTCTAGCAAGCGTGAGGCCCTGAGTTCAAACTCCCAATACTACCAAAAAAACAAAAAACAAACAAAAAAACCCTTTAGGTTTTAGAGCTTTTTTAGAATTGTAGATTGTGAACCTATGAATATTGGTTTTGTTCCTCACCAACTAGCAGCTCCTTGAGAACAGGGATTGTCTATGCTTCTTCCTAAATATTTAGCATGGTGTCAGACACAGGAGTGCACAAAGCCTAAATGATTGATAGGAGATACTAAAGGACCAATTAAAATAAATACAGGGGTGGGAATTTAGTAGGTTCTGTGTTATTCTGTACATTTCTTATAACACTGCTCCTGGGTGTGTCTTATTTCTAGGCAGAAGTCAATTCATCTGGAAAGACGATTACTGAGTCAGACGTTAACAAACAGTCTTTTTCACTAAGTGACTTACAGGACAATATACCTACAACATTCCAGGGTGCTACAGCCAGCACATCGGTATGGCTTTTACCTTTTAATATATATATATATATATATATATATATGTATATCTATATTGTTACCATTATTTGGAATAGGATAGGATCCTAGATCAAATATCTGAAAATGTTTGTTTTTCCTAATAGTTGGATTCTAGCCCAGGTGACTCCCTAATAAGTTATATTATCTTGAGCAAATTATTCACACTTTCTGGGCTTTAGTTTGTTTTCTTGTTAAGTGGGGCTAGACTAAATAATTTTCTCTCCAGAATTCTATGATTTGTTTCTAAAGTTAGTTTCAAGATAGTGCTAGATTCTGAATAAAAATATGTTAGCCACTTTTCAAATAGATCCTGTCTTTGGCATATTTCTTAAACTACATGAAGGCAGAGACTTGATAAACAGCTGGAGCCATAATTTGCCTAGAGTTGCTCTCTTCTGTACAGTAGCCACTAGTCACTTGTGTCTGTCTAAATTTAAGTTAATCAAAATTAAGTAAAATTCAAAGCTCAATTCCTTAGTCACCTAGCCACATTTCAAGTGTTCCATAGCCACATGTGGCTGGGGTGGCCATATGTAGAAGCTTAGATCTAGAAGTTCACTACCATTGCACAGTTCTGTTGGACAGTGTTGCCTTGACCATAGTTAAGTGTCCAATAAATAACTGTTCAGTGACTGTTATGGGTGATGTTAGTCGTGCCTGACCTATTGTCTGAAAACATTGGTAGGCCTAGGTTGTCAGAAAGACTGATCTAAAAAGTATGACTGGATTGGTGCTACATAATTAGGATTATAGGAAAGACAAAGACTTTCCTTTCTATATATAAAAGTCAAAACAGTCTTTTGGGGTCTTTTTGATTACAGATTGTTTGGCTAAGTAGTTAGATCCATTGGTTTCTTCTAGATTATAGAAGACTTTGGAGGATCAGAAAAACTAAAAAAAGAAGCTGGCCAAATATAGATTTGCCTTTTCCAGGAATAACCTGCTATAAAGTGGTATTGAGTAGTCCTGAATGACTCGCTCCCATCAGAGAGTGAGCTGGATACAGAAAAGTAGATTGGAGAAGAGCAGGGAAGAGGTTCCTCTTTCTTGAGGAAATAAAGTGTGTGTAGATGAGTTTAAGTTAGTTTTACATGATCTCAGTATAATTTTATGAATTACAGAGGAATATAATGAATTAATTTTAAAGTCAGTATATCTTGGTTTGAAATGTTAAAACATTCTGATTAATTCTAATTGTATTTTATAAATAGTTTTAAAAAATATAGAGTCATTCTATTACTAATATGAAGGTAGTAATCTTTTTTAACTATTAGGACAGTCTCCTAATGTTTATTATGTATCTCAGTTTGTCTTTGATGTATTTTAAGTCTATGTCAAGAGACCTTGTTACATATTCCAGTTATTCGTACTCCAGTTGTAATTTATTTTGTAATTATTTATGTACTGTCTATCTCATATTGTAGAATTAAGTTCCATGAGAGTCAGGGCTCTCTTTTGACTAATCAGGGACTAGCTTGGTGCTTTGCATATAGTAGGTGGTCAATATATATTTGTTGACTGACTGAATGAATCCTAGGGTTGATACTTTTAAAAAATACTAGGAATATAGGCAAAGAAATCAAGAAGTTTAAGTAAATTAGAGTATAGAATAATGTTATTACTATAGTAGTGTTTCCACTTGACTTTTATGTGCATGTAACTTAAAATTCTTTATCATAGATATAGGTCATTAATTGAAAACAATTTTGTTTAAAATAGGCATAAGCAATAAATTGTCTATAATTACAAGTAGAGCTTTTCATCACATTGGAGTGTGGTTGTATAATTTGACCACTACGCAAATAACTGAAACTTGCTTTGGCTAGGGGTAGGTGCACTCAATGCAAATGTAACATAAATTCACTGAGATATCATGCATTAAACCCCAGATAAGCCATGTGTTTTTCCAGCATCGAGGGAGTGAGGGATTGGTGAAAGTAAATACAGCAGATAACATGAGGCCATCTGTTGGGCTTTGATGCAGAGTTTTTAGGTATGTAAAAATGGGGAAAATAACCTGATGGTAGTTTTGTATTCTTTGCTTTTATAATAAAAAGCAAACACAGAATTCCCTCACAGATGCTGGCTATTCTAGGTTATTATAGAAAAATTGATATATATTGTTAAGGAACTTAACTATGGCTATGACTATTTTAAGCAGGAAAAAATTTCATAATTTTATATTATCAAGGGACTGGGTTTTAGCCAGTGCTATACCATCCAAAAGGCATCTGAAATGTAGGAACCTAATTAAACATTGTATCTATATAAATATTTCCACTAAATCATGTAATAAGTATCTATAGTCAATATTTTATTTATGTATTTATTTTGTGACACTGGAGATTGAACCCGCAGCCTTGTTCTGCTAGTTACTGTCTTTTTTGACTCAGGGTCTGACTATGTAGCCCAGGCTGCCCTTGAACTCTCAGTCCTCCTGCCTCAACCTCCCAAGTGCTGGAATTACAGGTGTGGGCTACCATGACTGGTTTGTGGTTAGTACTTTAAAGGGTTGTTTTTCTAAATATATTAATTATATTAATAAAGAACCAAAAAGCTGTCCTAAGTAAATTCACTTGTTTTTTGAACTTAGATCTAGATGCCTCCAAAGGGATATGTTAATAATAACTATTTAGTAATAACTTACATTTAATAAGCAATTTTGTGTGCTAAGCACTTTATAACATTATCCCATCTAATCCTCACAGCTGTGGAATTAGATATTACCCTCATTCAGATCTACGTACAGATGAGGGATCTAAGACTCAGGTTAAATAACTTGCTTAAGGTCACACATCTTCCAAGTAGCAAAACCCGCCTGGTAATGATACAGGCTCCTGCTTCAGGTTTATGGGCAGGATAATCTCCCCTCAAACTAAGGAAACAGTAACAGGTATACAATAAAGGTTTTAATCTGAGTCAATCGCTTGTGCTAAATATGGATCAATGTTACTGTCATTTTTTAAATTCCTTAAGAACCTGTTCTCTTTAAGCATGAGTCCTTTGGCTATGTTAAGTACTTTTATCTTCTTGGCTGAATAATCAGAAGAATGAGAGATTGCAACTGTAATTAATGCTTCTATAACTCCATTCACTCACCTTATGACATTTGTGATGACGTGTGATCTAATAAATCACTGAGCTTTGTGTTTCTGCGCTCTTCAGTGAGCAGATTGCTCCTTGGAGTCCTGGGTCATAAAGGTCCCAAGTACATGCAATTCTAATTCATTATCAACACTAACTTTTATTTATTTATTTAATTTGTTTATTGCTTTTATATTTATTCATATGTGTATACATTTTTTGGGCCACCTCCTCCCCACCCCCTGCTTCCAGGCAGAACCTGTTCTGCCCTCTTGTGCTCCAGTTTTGTTGAAGAGAAAACATAAGCGGCAATAAGAAAGACATAGTGTTTTTGCTAGTTGAGATAAAGATAGCTATACAGAGAGATTCCTAGCATTGTTTCCATGCACATGTGTATTACAACCTACATTGATTCATCTCTACCAGACCTCTTCACTACTTCCTGCTCCCCTTCCCATAGTGGCCTCTGCCAGTTTCAGATTACTGTATTTGCTCCTCTATAAGGAGCAGATCCACCACATTCAAGTTTTAGGTTTCCTTTCCTTTCCCTATTTCTCCCATGAGTGTGTGACCCATGTCCAGTAATGTTACTGCATTTGTTCTAGGACTATAATCTGCATAAGAGGGAGAACATACTGTTTTTGGCCTTACTAACTTATTTTTAGCTTAAAGTCATCAGCAGTTCCTGTCTACCTCTGTATTAGAGGTCACTACATTTGAGAGATTCCAAAAGATAGCTTTAAGAAATTCAGATTATTTTTATATTTGTTTTGCAGTGCTGGGGATTGAATCCAGGGCTTTGTGCATGATAGGCAAGTGATCTACCACTGAACTTGGGTTTTCCAGGCATGGTCTTGCTATGTAACTGAGGCTGACCTCAGTGTGATACTCCTGCCTCTGCCTCCTGAGTGCTGGTTTTATAGGCATGTGTCACCACGCCTAGTTTAAGCCTTTTAAAGTTGAAATGAGTGTCAGATTTAAAATGGAAATACTTTTCTACAGGTGACTTAGGTCAGCAGTATTTCCCCCTAATGTTTAAAACTATTGCTGGCCAAAGCCCACCCCATTACCTTTATTTTTTTTATTTATTTATTTTTTGGCAGTACTGGGGTTTGAACTCGGGGCCTTACTCTTACCACTTGAGCCACTCTGCTAGCCCCCATCCTTTTGCCTTTAGAAAAAACATTTGAAGTATATTATTAGATTTTTTTCCTCCTAAATATTTAAATGTTTTTTAATGGAAAATATTTGAAATGTTTTATACTTAATTTAATATCATTCTGAATAAAACATGCTCTTTTTTAAACCAAATGTACTGGCAATAACCAGTGTATAAATTGCTTTCAATAAGAGAATTAAAGGACAGGTATCTATATAAATAAAGTGGAACTCATATTTTGTACAGCTTCTTTGACTATGTTATCAGTTTTTTAATCTATAAACCATATTTAAGATTTTGAACCTCACAGAATTAGAAATAAGAGCAAAATAGTTTCTGCTGGGTATTGGGGGGGAGAGGGAGTGGGTGGAGTGGGTGGTAAGGGAGGGGGTGGGGGCAGGGGGGGAGAAATGAACCAAGCCTTGTATACACATATGAATAATAAAAGAAAAATGAAAGAAAAAAAAAAAGATTTTGAACCTCTTGGTGTCACATTGTGGTCATGCTATGACTAACAAGTCACTGCAGTTGTCATCCAGTGCTCTGGGGGAACAACCAATGCTGAAATAGAGCATACGTCGGATGGAATGTGAGTACCTCATACTTTCCTGAGCACATATCCGGAGAACTCTTGATAACATAAAGTAGCCCATACTAAATGATGTACTTCTGGACTCGTGCTCTGTTCACTAGTCGGGGATTGGGGGATGAGTAAGCCTGGCTATGAAGAATTCACAGTTTGAAATTTCTTGTGCTCTGGGATTACTGGTGGAAGCATTTCGACACAGTAAGATAAAACTGGAAGAAAGCTGGTTCATGAAAGGCACACTACTAAGAGTTTCCCTTTTTGAGATTTAAAATGGATCATTTTCAGGCCTAAAGTAGAAATCAAATTGCTTCTCTCCTTGGGACTCCTAAAAGAGGTGAAGTACCCAAGTGCTTAGCAGAGGCTGCTGGAACTATACCCGAGGGAGAAAGGAAGGCCATCTGTGGAGAAAATAGGTAAATTTCTGCCTTGTCTACTTGGTTGCTGGTAAATTCCTTCTCCACCTGGTGGCACTCAGATAAGTTGTACTGCTGGCTTATTCAGCAGCGTTGGTCACTAGTCTCAGCATTTACATAATTCCTGGTAGTTTTGCCTTTAGTCATATTTAATTCTCTGAGAATCTGTGTATTCTTGGACAGATAAGTCTATAATGTAGATTTTCTTTGCCAATTTCAAACTAAGTTTCTTTGCATTTCCAGAACCCATCTGCAGCATCCTTTCAACAACCTACGCAACCTGTAGCTAAGAATACCTCCATGAGCCCTCGGCAGCGCCGGGCCCAGCAGCAGAGTCAAAGAAGGTCATCCACTTCACCGGATGTAATCCAGGGCCAGCAGCCAAGAGACAACCACACCGATCATGGCGGTTCCGCTGTACTGATTGTCATCCTGACTTTGGCCTTGGCGGCTCTTATATTCCGGCGAATATATCTGGCCAATGAGTACATATTTGACTTTGAGTTATAATACTGCTTTGTGACTTAAGAGCTGTGATTCAGCTGCTTCATTCAACATTCTGCATTGGTATAATCTAAGAATTGTTTACAAAAAGATTATTTTGTATTTACCCTTCATTCCTTTTTTGATCCTTATAAATTCAATATAAATACAGCTAGACATTCAGGCTATGTCCAGCAGTGTGTCCTGTTTAGCTTAAGAGACTGGAAGTCAAAGTTCCTGTCTCATTATTTTATCTGCTTTAGAGAGAAATACATGTTTCTCATGTCTCAACTTTTTTTTCTGTAAATTTGCAATACTTTTCTATATAATCCTTTGAAATTTTCTGATAAAAGATGGTGTTTTAAGTTCTCGTGAATATTACTAGTTACTCAATATCATTTATTGAGTACTCTGTTTCTACTTATGTAGACTATTATAGGGATAGAAGAGTTGAAAGGGAAAGCAAAACTTCTCCAAGTAGCTACCTTAAAATATCATTTATAGAAGAATACCGGATTGCCCTTCCTGTGACCTTGTGTTCTAAATATTATTTCAGTGAAATACAAGGATCTTTTTACGTCTTTGTTATTGGATGTTACTTGAAGAGGAAGTACTTTATAACCACTTGGATATGCTGTTATCAAGCCTCTTTCTGATACACAAACAAATTTAAAAAGAAAGAAAACAGTCCTCCAAAGAGCTTTGTCTTAAGGAATAAATGGTCCAAGCCAGGAAATTGCTTGATTTTCTCCCAGAAGTTAAGTAGGAAGATTGTAAAATTTTAATGTTTGCTCTGCTTTGAATTGTATATCTTTTGAAATGTATTATATGCCTAGCTTTGTAATCACTATAAATTTTAATTATTCCAGGAATATGCACAATGTTGAACTATTTCATGTACCATTTTAATGGAAAAACTCAGGGCCCAATAACAGTGATAGAAGGTAGACCAACCTCTACTTAGAATTGTCCCCCTAATCAAAGCCCAAGGAAGATTTTCAGTGAAAAAAAAAGTTCAGTACATTGTTTAGTGCTAGCCGACTCCACAGATGATGGTAGATAACTTTATTGTCACAGTGCCTGGTGAGACCATATAATCACAGAAAACATTGTCTTCAGATGTTCCCTTGGCAGCACTGAAGGCACTCTGAAGGCCTCTGCTAATGACGATTTAATTTTCAGATACAGACAGTCCTTAGCTTTCAAACATGTTGTTCTCTAAAAGTGTGTCAAACAATGTAAATGGCATCTAGTTCTAGACCAGTCCACAAAACTTAGCCCGGATGCATCTCAGGGAGGGTGTTCATAAAGTCCTTATGTTTTTTTAACTAACTGAAATTATGAGTAAGATAAAAAATAATTTGTAAGATTGTTTTAAAGGCAAATTTAATTTTTATTCCTGTTATGGTACTTTGGACCTATTAACCATCAGCCATATTTCTGTTTTCACTTGATAGTTTCCCATTATGTCTGCATCTAAAATAAAGACACATTGTATGCCATTACAGAGTTGTCTTAAGCTTTAAGCATTTTAAACTCTTAGCATTTTAAAGTTGTTCACAAATTGTTTCTATTATATCTATAGCTGAAGTTGAAAAAGTTTAAAAAAACCTAAGGACTTTATGATGCCTTCATATTAGGAAAATTATAGGTTACCATTTTATAATGGTTGGCCCAACTGGAAAGATGAGGTAGTGCTATCACCTAAAAAGGAAGTCCCCATGCCCTCAGCCTCTGCTATAATTGTGTGCTGGGAACAGTCTCCCATTTGCTCTCAGTCAGACTTAAGCCAGCCTCTTGATCCCTGACCTCATTGCATGTTTCCGTGGGGTGAACCTGTGCTTTAAAGTTAAGCATTGTGCAGATCCTGCTTTAATCAGATTTGCTTCTCCCTCACCTGTCCAGTGGTGGGTCATCTGCTTGTTTGTGTTGGAATTTTTAGCACCAGTACTTAAGTCTCAAATTGACATGTTTTGCTCCTCACATTCGCTCCCCAAAATCTTAAATTGTCCATCTGACCCCCATTGTGGGGTTAATGAGGCCACTGAAGGGTTGCTTCTGAAAACTATTATATGGAAAACCCTACTTTAACCTCTTAATTCCAGCATAAGGGAAAAACTGGATGTGTGATCTGGTAGGTAAAGTATTGGGGCTCATTTCCCCAATTCTCCCATTTAGGCAACTTGTGGCTTTCTCTTTGACCAGCACAGCACATGACATATATCAAGGTAGTTAAGACAGCATGTTTGAAAAAATGTCTTTTGCTTGTTACTGTTTAAGCCAAGGAACCTTCAGATTTTATGTAATGTGAGGCTTTATGTAGCACTTACAGCTCCATGCTGCTCATTGTTTTATTCTACTGAAATAAATGAATTTCATCAAGATTCTCAGCTAATTTCTGAAAAGCTTTTAAAATTGATTATTGTTTTGACTAAAATATGTTTCCTGTTTCAGGAGAATAAGAACGCTTTGTTATTTTGGGTTTATGAAGAAACATTCTGGTATCTTGACAATGCCCATTTTTGTAGACCAGAACCAGTAAATAAGTAAACCTTACTCATTTGGACCTACTTGAGCAGAAACCTAGGGTGAAGTACTGAAAAACCTACATTGTTTTGTCACATGCAAGTAAGTATATGTAAATGAATACATTTAGTGAGCCTGACTTTAACCAAGAATAATGTACATATTAACATATGTCTGTTGAAGCCCTCGTGGGAGGCTGTGCATGACCTGAAAGCTGTTTGGAATGCCTCTTGAACAGGTGCCTTCAGAACTAGTTTGAACTGCTCAATAAAACCAGTGACTGTATTCATTTTTTTGTCTTTGACCAAAGGTTGTATTCTTTGCCATCTGATCTTATCTCCTTCCTTGACTGTCCTTTCCAGATCTTTCCATTTCTCTTCATACTCTGTTGCTACCCTCACTAGCTGCTCTCCTGTACGTTAATGCAGTTACCTCTTACTAGAGCTCCAGTCTTACACCATTCCTACATTGCAGCCAGTCTTCTCCAGTACACATCTGACCCTATCTGTTACTGCTATTAAAGTGGTAATGGTGACAGTTGCAAACTCTGAATATACTAAAAAGTACCCTTTAAGGGAGTGAATTTATGGTATGTGAGTAATATTTCAATAAAATTGTGATAAGAAATTGTGCCATTCAACTGGCTTTCTCCCTATCCTACTCAGGATAATTGAACTATCGATAATAGAATTTTAAAGAAAACTGGCAGAACCTTAGAGTTGTGTCTAGAATGCCTCCCACAACAGCTATTTCTTAAAACCTAACAACATTCAAACATTAAGTCTAGGTTCCAGCTGGTCCTTTATTGGCTTGTTCCAAATGGAGAAAAGAAAAAGAGGTCTTTTAAGCAGATCCTGTGGAAAAGAACTTTCATAGGTCTGCTCCTCACCCTGAAATCTTTGAGAGGAGAAGAGTGTAATCTTAGTGGCAGAGGATTTGCCTAGCATGCAGGAGGTCCAGGTTTCATTCCCCATTACTGCAAAAAAATAAGAAAATAAAAATTCCCAGGTAATTCTGAGGAGGGACCAGATCTGGGAACCACGGAATCACAATAAGTGCTTTTACAACATACTGTATTCTGTTTAATAGGTTAAACATAACCACATATTTATATATGTGGTTTTTATACTTTTTTGGTGGAACTTGGATTTGAACTCAGGCTTCACTCTTGCAAAGCAGGTACTCTACTGCTTGAGCCACACCTTCAGTTCATTTTGCCCTGGTTATTTTGGAGATGGGATTTTGCAAACTATTTGCTCAGGCTGGCCTCAAACCTCAATCTTCCTGATCTCAGTTGCTCAAGTAGCTAGGGTTACTTGAGCCACTGGTGCTCAGTGTCTTTATACATTTTATACACAGGAATCAAGCCTAATTTATGATGTTTGACTTTATACATTTCAGGGTCAAAGATTGAAGTTAATGCTCATGATAGGAAAAGGAGCTTACATAATCATGAATTCTCTTTTGGTTTAGGCTGTTCTTCAAAATCAAAATGTTTTCTAGCTGGGTACAGTGGCTCAAGCCTGTAATCCTAGCTCCTTGAGAGGCAGAGATTGGGAGGATTGTGGTTCAAAGACAGCCTAGTCAAAAAGAGTTCCTGAGTCCCCATCTCAATCAATGGCTGGGTGTGGTGGCACACACCTAGCTACTGTGGGAAGTGTGCAATAGGAGGATCACAGTCCAGGCCAGCTTGGGCATAAGGCGAGATACCTCTCCAAAATAGCCATAGCAAAAAAGGCTGGAGGCTTGGTCCAAGTGGTAGAACACCTGCCTACCAAGTGCAAGGTCCTGGGTTCAAACTCCAGTACCACCAAAAAAAAAAAAGGTAGAAAAGTGTTCTATGCTTTGATAAGTATTCACTGAAAACAAACAAACAAAAAAAAAAAAAGAAAAGAAAAGGAGGTGAATATTTGGAGGGAGAGCAGATATTCTCAGCAACAGGGGCAGAGCATATTCTCTTAGATAAGAAATAAAGCAAGCCTTTGAAAACAGGTCATTTGTGTGTTCTCAATGAACATGTGCTCTCCATGTGCAAATCCACTCGGAATCCAAGCCGGCTCCCTGCTGGATATGACAGACTGGTTTTATGCAGCCAGAGAGATGGATTAATGATCTCAGCAAAAACTGGTGTGTTTGAGAGATTTTATTTTTTCTATGTGTGTAACGGTTTTAGCCAAAGCTGTGCTAGGGTTCAGCTCGGAAGCAGACTTTCCCAGGAGGACAAACTTCTAGATGAATGACGAATCTCTAGGCAGTGGGGAGGGCAAAGCTTGGTGTTTGTGCCCATGACCCTGAGGGTGGGGTGTGCGGGTGCGACAGGCATCAGTATCAAACAGTAAACTGGGAAAATCAGCCTTGCTAGCCATGCCCTCACAGAGACTCCGACAAGCACCGGCAGCAGGCCAAGGACAGGGCCAATGGTTAAGCCAGGGCACCTTTGTGCCACCAAAAGTTACTGGAAAGCCGCCTGCTACATCATAGACGTCCACAGAATGTTTTATTTTACAAGACTCATGTTGTTCTTGCTTTGCCTGATGGTTCTTGTGGACAGCA